TTATAGGCAGTCCTATACGCCCAAAGAGCATCATCGAGCTTGGTGGACCAATCCTTGCGGGACTGATCCACCGTCTTTTCAATAATTCGTTTTAGCTCCCGGTTCGTCAGCTCGGCCTGCCCATTTGACTGGGGATGGTAGGCCACCGACACCTGATGCTTAACACCATAGCGAGAGAGGAGTTTAGTGAATTGCCCTTGAAAATGGGTTCCTCTATCACTAATGATGGCGCGGGGTGTCCCGAACCGGGAGAACAGCTGCTTCAGAAATGAGCAGAACCGTCTTGCATCATTGGTGGGCATGGCTTGAGCTTCTGCCCACCTCGAGACGTAGTCTACTGCAACCAATATGTACAGATTTCAAAAAGATGGAGGGAATGGGCCCATGAAATTGATACCCCAAACATAAAAAATTTCACAAATAACAGAGATATGTTGGGGCATCTCATCCCGGGAAGAAATGTTACCTGACCTTTGGCAGCGGTCGCACTGGCGTGCGAAGGAGTCTGCATCCTTGAAGAGCGAGGGCCAATAGAAGCCCGACTGTAGCACCTTCCGCGCCGTGCGGTTACCTCCATGGTGACCTCCAGTAGGTCCCTCGTGGCATTGAGACATGATGTCTCCCATCTCGTGCTCCATGACACAGCGCCGGATCACGCCGTCTGCTCCGACTCTGAAGAGGTAAGGATCCTCCCAGAAGTAATGCTTCAGATCGGAGAAGAACTTGCGCTTTGCATGAGTAGCCATCCCCTTGGGTAACTGCTTGCCCACCAGATAATTGGCAAAGTCAGAATACCAAGGGGCCACGCTGTCCACCAGTGTCATCGCCAGCAATCGCTCACCCGGGAAGGAGTCATCGATCTCTTCCACGAAGTTGTCCACCGGAGGGGCTTCCAATCGTGAAAGATGATCTGCAGCAACATTCTCGGCTCCTTTATTGTCCCAGATTTCTATGTTGAATTCCTGCAGAAGCAGGATCCAGCAGATGAGCCGAGGCTTTGCATCAGCCTTGCTCATCAAGTAGCGAATCGCCGAGTGATCTGTGTAGACCACCACATGGGAGAGCACCAGATATGGCCGGAACTTGTCAAATGCATACACCACGGCGAGGAGCTCCTTCTCAGTGGTGGTGTAGTTCTCCTGTGCATCGTTCAAGGTCTTCGACGCGTAGTAGATGGGCTGGAAGTGCTTCTCGCGTCTCTGACCCAGAACTGCTCCGACTGCATAATCACTCGCATCGCACATCAGCTCAAAAGGGAGAGACCATTCAGGAGTTACCATGATAGGGGCATGGGTCAGCTTCTCCTTCAGAGTCTCAAATGTAGCTGTGCACTCGGGAGTGAACTGGAATGGTGCATCCTTCTCCAGCAGCTTGGTCAAAGGCAGGGCAATCTTCGAGAAATCTTTAATGAAGCACCGGTAGAAGCCTTCATGACCCAGAAAGCTGCGAATCCCCTTCACAGAAACGGGAGGAGGTAGCTTACTGATCGTCTCAATCTTCGCGCGATCCACCTCAATCCCCTGCTTGGAGATCTTGTGCCCGAGCACAATCCCCTCACGGACCATAAAATGGCACTTCTCCCAGCTGAGTGCCAGATTCGTCTCTTCACACCTCTTCAGAACGAGTTCCAGGTTATGGAGACAATGAGAGAAGGAGTCTCCATAAACCGAGAAGTCATCCATGAAGACTTCCATGATCTCCCCGACCAGTCTGTCGAAGATCGCCATCATGCATCTCTGGAAGGTCGCCGGTGCATTACACAGCCCGAATGGAATCCTCCGATAAGCAAAAGTGCCGAAAGGGCAAGTGAATGTGGCCTTCGCCTGATCCTCTGGTGCAATAGGAATCTGAAAATAACCAGACATGCCATCCAGGAAGCAATAAAACTCATGCCCAGCCAATCTCTCCAGCATCTGATCAATGAAAGGTAGGGGAAAATGATCTTTCCTGGTGGCGTCGTTCAGGCGCCGGTAATCGATGCAGACTCTCCAGCCGGTCACGGTTCGCATCGGGATCAACTCTTTCTTCTCATTTGGGACCACAGTCATCCCGCCTTTCTTCGGGACCACCTGAGTGGGGCTGACCCACTTGCTATTAGATATAGCAAAGATGATCCCTGCATCCATGAGCTTCACAATCTCTGCCCGGACCACTGCCTCCAAGTTAGGAGACAATCTTCTCTGCGGTTGCCTGACTGGCTTAACCTCATCCTCCATCAGGAATCTGTGGGAGCAGAAGGATGGGCTAATGCCTCTGATGTCTGTGATCTTCCATGCCATGGCCTGGGCATACTTCTGCAGCAAAGCCACCAGCCTGCTCTTCTGCTCGGGTGTCAGATCCGAGCTAATAATGACTGGGAGCTTATTCCCCTCCCGGAGAAATGCATACTCCAGGTGAGAGGGGAGGGGCTTAAGCTCCAGCTCTGGTGGCTCCTCTAATGATGTAGCGATCCGGGGCGAGATAGGGATCGGCTTGAATGGTATCTCTCGCCCCTCGATCATGGCCTCGTCTAGCTCCGCGAGCTGCTCCTCCAACTGCATGTCCTGTGATGCCTGTTCCCCTAGCAAAAGACAACGCTCAAGGAAATCATCAGTACCCGCACTCGTGATGGCGAGTGCGGTCTCAAAATCAACAACAACATCACAGTAATCTAGATCATCATGGAGCTGGGGGTGTTTCATATTATCAGAAACAGAGAAGGTGATTTGTTCACCCCTAGCTCGCAAAATCAGTTTTCCATCATTCACATCAATGAGCGCCTTGGCGGTGGCGAGAAAAGGTCTACCCAATATCAATGGCACATCCACATCCTCATTTATGTCCAAAATCACAAAATCAACAGGATAAGAGAATGGCCCTACTGCGACTATCAAGTCCTCTGCAATGCCCCTAGGATGCACAATGGATCTATCAGCAAGTTGAATGCTCATCCTAGTATCACTGGGTTCACCTAGGCCTAGCTTTTTAAACAGTTTATATGGCATGACATTAATGCTAGCGCCTAAATCCGCCAAGGACTTCCCTATATGCAAACTACCAATCATGCAAGGGATAGTGAAACTCCCTGGGTCGTTTCGCTTCTCTGGTAGTTTGTTCTGCAGGATGGCAGAACACTCCTCGTTGAGCATCACCGTGTAAACAATGTTCCCACCTAATCCATTTGAGTTCAGGTGACTTATGATCAGTTCCCTGTAAACAAACCCAGTTTTATGGTACTTGCAGGAGCTCATGAGTCTAGAAGGAGGGAAGATTACACTTTCAGATGTGCAACATGTTAGTTAGCTATAGGATGTTATTAGATCCTTTTTCGTCATAGGAAATGATTATCCAAAATCCGGTTAGTTGGTATGTTATACAACCCATATTTCCTAGTTATCTTGAGATTTTATGTTCTTTCATGCAATTGTTTTTTACAATTGATGTGTTTATGGTTTCTTTCAATGTCTATAAATATGCAGTGGTGTCTCATGATGTAGAAGCAAAGACTGTAAGCAGAAGTTGGCCGCAACATATGAGTACAACAAGATGTTGAATGGGATTGTTAGTGAATAGGATATAAAAGTCTTGCAAAACATATGCCTTGACCACATTCTTCGCCTCCTTGAGGTCCTTGTCTACCTCACCTTCAGCTGTACCAATCAAGAGAATATCCAAAATGCAAGTACAAATAGAAAGAGCACAAGAAATATCCTACTACTGCTATTCCTAAGTATGGCTTGTGATAGTTCCTTGTTACCGAGTTTAAGGTACTTCCTAACTTCAATTGTGTAGAAGATGAAACAATTAGCATAGGGAAAACAGGAGGGCCATAAACATTCAGTAGTTGATCCTAGGCTAAATTACACGTTTGGTCACTCAAATTACATAAATCTTTCACGTTTGCCATCCGAATTACTTTTCTTTCTTATTAACCATCAACTTTACGAATTGTTTCACCATTAGTCACCAGCCGTCAGTCTCCGTCAAACTCTGTTAACATTGTCAGTTTTTTGCTGACGTGGCAAACAGAACGGTTGACTAGAGCAAAAAAAAAGGCTGAGATGGAATTTTTTTAACCAAACCTAATTCATTCCTTAACCTCACCAACGTCGGTCCTCCTTCATCCTCTCTGCTTCTTCTCGACCAACTTTTTGTCCCCCCTCTTTTATCAATCCCAGATAAGTAAGAACCCCAAATTGTACTCTCCTCCTCCCTCGATCTCATTCTGTCGATGCTCTGCTCTCTTTGCCGGCGAGAGAACGAAGACGGCAATTAGTCTGTTCCTTCTCAATGCTTGTCAAGTTTTAGGGTTTTCGTTCGATTCTAATTTTAAGGAGTTTTAATTTTGATTTTTAGGGGTGGTTAAGTTTTGGAAGATTTCCCTAGATCCGGAAGAAGAAACCGGGGACGACGACATTGGCAGATCTATGTTGATTCGTGCAGCGGGTGATGACGATGGCGTGGATTCGGAGCGAAGGCTATAGCGGCGGTCTGGATAGGAAGCTATAGCGATTGGTAGGGATGGTAATCGGTCGGGTCGGGGACGGATAGTGAATATCCGTTACCCTACCCAAAGTAGTTCAGGTTTTACCCATACCCATACCCACATGTGCAACGGGTAGAAAATTAAAATCATGCCCATGCCCGTTCGGGTTTCGGGTATCCACGGTTATCCATGGGTAATGATTTCTCTTCATAACTCCAACCAATATGTTAACATTCACACTAGAATGAATAAATTAATTAAAACAACACAATTTCATGAAAATATTATATTTATATGCTAAATATAAAATATGTTAGAGAAAAATAATGATTATTTCTAGACAAAATATATATGTATGTGTATAATCGGGCGGGTTCGGGTTGGATAGTGAGAAACCCATGCCCACCCATTACCCGCAATATTCGGATTCGGGTTTTACCCGTTCCCACTAAATGCCCTACGGGTTTGGGTTTTACCCTACCCGATTAGGCCGGATTCGGGCGGATATCCACGGTTACAGATATTTTTGCCATCCCTAGCGATTGGTCTTGGTGAGAGGGCGGTGGATCCAACGGCGACGAGAAAGATTGGTGGTGCGGCAGACTAGGATGCTGAAGGCGGTGGAGTTTACTGCAACGAGCGACACTGGGATGAGGAAACAGCAACGAGGGACGGGGGGAGAAGACGTTGGTGGCGGCACAAAAACGTGATTCGACGATGATGGTAACATCGACCTTGCTGAAGGGATGGATAGATCGATAGCGCCAATGGAGGAAACGACCCAGAGGCTAAATGATGACAAAGGCGGCATACTCTGTTTTGGCTGGTCTTGATGGCGGCGATGGTTCTCTTTGTCGGAGGGACGGTCCATGACGGGATTTGATAATCTCACCAAGTGATGGGAGAAGACTTTGGTTGTGCGAAGAGGAAGAAGAAGAGAAAAGTTTTGATTGGAGGAGAGAATGAGATGTAATATTTTTTTATTATTTTTAAATGGACACATCATTAATTTAACGTCTCGTCAGCAATTCCATTTGCCACATCATCAAAAATTTAACGGTGTTAACGGAGTTTGACGGAGACTGACGGCTGGTGACTAACGGTGAAACGATTCATAAAGTTAGTGGCCAATAAGAAAGAAAAGTAATTCGAGTGGCAAACGTGAAAGATTTATATAACTCGAGTGACCAAATGTGTAATTCATCCGTTGATCCTGGTAATGTTGGGTGTTGTCTCATAGCGAAGAAAAGAGGCTCCTGAGTTTGGTGCTACTGCTGTGACGCATAGTTAGTAATATACGGTACGAGAAAGTTACGTATAAAATACATATGAGTATTTTACTTCGTCTTTAAGCTAATGTTACGTTTAATGGTAATAGTTAGGGGTGAACAAACACACTCGTAAACCGACCCACCCGTCCAACCCAACCCACCCGTATTTATCGCTAAACAAAGGTTTCGGCTGGGTGAGGATTTTCTTTTGTACAACCCGCCTCTATTGGGTTGGGTTTGGATTTTGGATTACACAACCCGTAGAACCCGACGCAACCCGTGTTCCAACTATTGGTAGGAGTTCGTATCCAAAAATATTTATGTCATTTATAATTATGCTAAAATTAAGATATTTCACCATGTTTTTCTCTCATGGTCTCCCTAATTTAATACATTCTTAGGTTTAAAGTTTAGACATAAATTTAATATAGCTATGATTCACGTAATCCTTTTTCTTGTGTACAATTTTAATAGAATAACATATTATGGGTGCATTCGTTTATAACCTTTTTAGCCTATTTTAACAAATATCGTGGAAAAAAATTAGACATATGTTGAAGTAAATCACATTTTATTAAAAATGAAACAACATTTGTGAAATTTGATGCCTTTCACCTCGGTTTATTCATTTGAAATTTAGTTATTTATAAAATATATTTTATGTTGTAGAATAATTACATATTTTGTGTTGGGTTGGGTTTTTACTTAAAAATATCGCCAACCCGACCCAACCCAATTAGAAATAAACCGTAGGATTTAAATTTTTTTGGGTGGGTTTGGGTTTAATATTTCTCAAACCGTAGTGCATGGGTCGGGTGATTAAAATGGTTATACCCGAACCACCCAACCCATGTACACCCCTAGTAATAGTTATAAATATATACAAATAATTATTTAATAAATAAATAAATATATAAATAATAGTAAAGTTAATAATTAAATTCATTAAAAACGAATATTAAACGTACTATATGGGTTTTATAGGTGTTTAGTACGGGAGCCATCAAAAGAACGGAAAGAAATGAAACAACTTGACAATAATACAGATATAAAAGTTTTAAACAGTTAAAATATGTACGGGTAGATATACATATATTAAACAGAGTATTTACTAACTATGCAGTGTGATGAAACTGAATGTCTTTTGCTGTAGTGAGCTGGTCGTGTGTTGCAGGTTGCGGGTGTCCTGCTGATACAGGTTTTTGTTGTGAGCTCAATTCGAGAAGCATGGATGAGAGTCGAGCCTAGGGGCCTCTACCTAGGGATGGCAATATTACCCATACCCATGGATATTTTACTACCCAACCCAATTGGTTGGGTATGGAATCCAAATAGATGTTAGATGGGTAGAGTTTGATGGGTTTGTACCCATACCCATTTACTTGGGTTGGGTTGGGTTTTTAACATATGGATTTGGGTTTGTACCCATACCCAAATGCAAATTACAGTTTGGTACCTAAACTTAATAGTTATGCATATTTAGTATCTAAATTAAATTTTTTTTGCATACAAGTCCTCAAAATATCGATGAAAATTACATTTTAGTACCTAAAATTTTTTGGTCTCACATTTTGGTGCCTCTACACTTTTCAAGTTTTACAAATAGGTCCAATTTTTGTATGTGTAGTTAAAACACCCTCAAGTAAATGGATTTCCATATCCAACCCATACCCATTTAGATAATATTCATATCTAACACAAACCCATATACAAACCCCAAACCCATACACACATCACCCAAACCCTACCCATAATAAATGGGTCTACTTGGGTTTGGGCAAAATAACTCATGGGTGGGTAAATTGCCATCCCTACCTCTACCACATGAAAGTAGGTATGTTTGTCTACAAAGTCAAGACATTGGATGAAAGATTTGATATCTGGAGGGCTTCAAACAAAAGACTCGAAGTTGCTACAAAGTAAGCTGCCTCCTAGCACAAGCAAGCTGCCAGAAAAACAGCATGTCGGTTAGCTACGTCAGCAAATAACTGACGGTGTTAACGGAGAAAAATGGAGACTAATGGAGAGTGACCAAACGTGACCTGTTTTACTAAATCTGGTGACCACTGATGAAATTAAATATTTATAATGACCAAATATAAACATTTTTTTAATCTCAGTAATCAACCATGTAATTAACCTCATCTACACATTAATATATGGCAATGTCAATATAAGAACTTTGCCACCTCAGCACTTCCTCCGCAACCCGCACCATTCGGAGGGATTGATTTGTAAATTCAACCTCCGCAACCTCAGCACTTCCACCGCACGAGATAGTTCCGATCTATGTTGTGGTTACATGCAATTTATAATACTTTTAAATGGTATGTGAATGGGTTTATGTTCATTTGCCAACTACTGGTGTGTTTTAATGTAGCGCAACAATATCAATTCAATTTAGGTTTGCTTCATATTTCAGGTAATTGGTGAACAAACCAAACATCAAGTTTGGTGGTTTAGAGAAGTCTGATTGTTCAACATCAATTCAATTACGATTGCTTCATATTTGAGCTTTTTTTTAAAAGAAAATTTGAGCTAATTTGAGAATTGTTTGTGATTTAGATTGACTCAATATATTCATTACATATATCAATTTTGTAAACCTAAGTTTGTACCGAAAAGTTAGGGATAAGATATTTTGTGTTCAAACAGTCGTTCAACCATTTCATAACCCTACAATTGCCTACCGGATTGGATTTCGATAGGTTGTTTTTCATCCAACCTTCAATACGGTACAACTTTTCAAATGCTGAATAAATTTTAAAATGTGGTAATCAAACCACCTTACTTTTTAGTAGGGATGGCAATTTCGACCTGACCCGATTTACCCGACCTGTTTGACCTGTTTTGGGGGGGGTCAAACCCGCCCCGTAGGCGGGGCGGGGCGGGCATGGGTACCTCTCATCGATCCGACCTGCCCTGACCCGCCCCATTCTCGGCCCGTTCTTGCCTAAATTACATATAATATTAGTTAAATTACTTAAGATTTTCTTCTTATTACATTATATTTTAGCTATAATAAAGTTGTAAATAAGTGAAAACCTCAATTTCTTCAATAATTTAACTACATTTTATCATATTATGGTTTCTTTCTTGGTCTTTCAATGAAAAGTACGAATATTTCTAATGTTTTTCACATAAATTACATACCCAATGGGTCGACCTGCCCCGACCCGCGCCCCGTGATAAATTACCCGACCTGCCATGGGGCGGGTATGGGTATCGAGATACCCGCCCCGAACCTGCCCCATTGCCATTCCTACTTTTTAGATCATAAAAATTGTTACTAAATTGGATTTTCATTTTCAGGTTTAATTTTCAAAAGCCTCCATTCTGATTTAATTGCAAGAACATGTATATTTTCTTTTTAGCTCTATAAACTAACTACATCATAGTTCAAGTTGAATTTTGAATAAGCATGTCATGGATAAATTTGGAGATGAATCTTTGGAACTGAGAGGATTCTGACTCCTTAACCTTTTGTGGGAAGGACTGCAACAATTTTGTTGAATATGCTATCAAAACTTTCTCTTGGCGCGGGATTACAAAAATCGGTCTCTTTCAGTCACCGTGAAATCATAAAATCTTAGTGATATTTAGTTTCCAATTTTATTGAAGTACTTGATTTATGCCCATAATCTTTGGTGCTTAATAAGTGAATTGGAAATTACGATGTATAATATCTAATTTGGAACTAGCAATTTAGGTTCTTCATTTGTGACTATCAATCTGCAACGTGCACATTAAAATCAAACAATTTCATATTTATAACATGTGTCGTTATCAACATATATGATAAATACTTATTTTGGAATTTTTATAAAAAAATTACTTGCTTATCTTTGCACTCATTCTAAATAGTAGCAACACATACAAAATACATAATAATCAAACACCCGGCCAACGGGCCGGGCCCAACGCTAGTATTTTACTAACTATGTGTTAGAGTGAATGAGTGAGAAAATATATATTTTTAAAGGTTTGTACCTGAGAGAATTTTTTTTTCAAATATTGACTATGAATAAAAAATATAATTGAAAGAACCCAAACTTCATGTTGGGCCAAGGCTATAATTCCATTCTGGTCGCATAGATTGGGCCTGGAACTTAATCCCAAAAGGGCCTTCATATGCGTACGTTTGTCAACCCAATTGGCTGGTCTCTACCATCTAGGGCTGTGGTAAATCCGAGGGCCGCAGTCACTTCATATATAATCCCGACTTTCTCGTCTATTTGCATCTCCGCTTTCCTAAAAAACCCTAACTGCCGCCAATCTACACAGCAGCAGACCACCAATCGACCAGAGTTTTCGGATCTCCACTCTCGAACCTGCAATCATGGTGAGCCTCTCGGTCCCTCTCCCACTCCAGTCCCTCTTATCGTCTCAGTCGTCTGTGGAGTTGACCGGAATTTGACCAGCGTTGACATGATTGTTTAATTTGCAGGCGGAGGTGGAGGCCGATGTAGCTGTTGCTGAACAGCCGAAGAAGAGAACGTTCAAGAAGTTCAGCTTCCGAGGTGTGGATTTGGATTCTCTTCTTGACATGTCCACGGATGATCTCGTGAAGCTCTTCACTGCTCGTGCTCGCAGAAGGTAA